CCGGTGCTGCCGTGCGAGGGGCTGCGACCGCGGGGTTCCCCGGCACAGGAACCCCCCGCGCTTCCCCGGGGGGTGCCGGCTGCCGTTGGACCACCGGGACCTTCCTCCTCCTCCTCCTCCTCCTCCTCTGGCCGGGCGCTCACGGACGGCAGTGCCAGCGCTCCCTGCCACCGCCCGGGCTGGGATAAAGCCCCTCAGGGCGGCTGCAGAGCCGGGCTCGGAGCCATAAACACCCGCCCCCGTCCCCGGTAAAGGCCACCACCAGACCCTTCCATCCCTCCGCAATCAGAGACGCAGCCTCGAATAATTCGAGGGGTCCTGGGGCCGCAGGGCCCGTCCCGCTGCATGGGGAAGGGGCAAATGGCAGACACGCAGCAGCTTCACAGCCTTCCTCCGCAGGGAGGGAAAACAGGGTCACCCTCCTCATCCACATCAAGGAAACGGGGGCCCAGCCCAGCCCAGGGGCTCCTCACCCCCAAGGAGCACAAACATCAGCTGCCAGGGAGACAGAGAGCCTCTACTAAATTAATAAGAAAAAGAAAGCAAGCAATGGAGCCAAATACCAGCTGGCAAAAAATAATCGATCACCAGACAAATTTAATGAGTCACAGCTAATGAATTCCCCTTGTGGACATGGGCCCTGAGGGGGGAGGCTGTCAGAGCAAATCCTGCCAGGGCACGGGCAGCACTGGTGGCCCCTTGTCCAGGGGCACCGGTCCCCCGAAGCAGGGTCCCAACCATGGGGCTCCCCAGCAGCTCCTTCCCCCAGGGATAAAAGTGGAGCAGCACCCACTGCCTCAGGCAGGAGCCAGGGAGGGGGGGGTCCAACAGGCTCTTGGCATGAAATAGACCGCGCAAGCCCCAGCCTCTCCCTGGGTGCAGCGCAGGAGGGGGCTCACAGGGAAGCCCCATCCTCCCTCCAGCTCTGGCCAAGCACAGCACCCCAACCCAAATCCCAACTGGGGGAACTGGGAGAGAGCGTGGGACAACTGGGAGGGAAGGCTCCAGTCTGGGCTTGGCAGGGCACAGGCTGCTGCCTTCCTGGGGGGGACCTCGGGGCTCCCTGCAGCAGGGACATGCTCCCACCGCAGCCCCCAGAGCAGCCCCTGCCTGGCTCAGGCTGACGCTCCCTGATGCAGCCGATTAATGTTGATCCAAACTGTCAGGAGGGAAGTGGGGAGCAAAAGACAAGAGAATCGCCACTTATTAAGCTAAAAGCATTATCTGAGCACGCTGGCAGGAGCGTGGTCTGCACCGATGCTTCTGTTATTAAAGTGCACTTTAAATCAACTGCGCTTACTTCGGGTGTATTAAGCAGGCCAGTCTGGTGGGTGCACATGGGGATGGCCATGGTCCCCCAGATCCAGGGGACCCCCCTCCATCCCCATGGGCCGGGAGGCAAAACCTCGTGGGGAGGGGGAGGGACCCGCGGGGCAAAGACGACCGAGCAGCAGCACGGCTTCCTTTGGACAAGGGATCGCCTCCCTGCTGACAGCGCTGCTGGGGAAGCGGTGGTGGGTTATCGAGATCTGTGGCCAGCAGCAGGGTGTTAAAGAAAAACCTCAGGCATCTTTCACTATAAAAAACAAATCTTTTATGTAAAAAATAAACCTAAACAAAACCCACAACCCCCGCTGCCATGCTCGTGACAATACAAAAGGCCGATTCCCCAGAACACCATGAAAACAAAGTAGCTGGATCCAAATATATATAAATTGTCAACTTACGAGACTGGAAATAGCACCTTGCTGGCCCCCCCCACCTCTCCCCAAAGGAGTCAGCCCCGCACCCTGAAACCACCACCCGCACTCTGAGCCCAGGGACACCCCCCACAGCCCCCTGCCCGCCAGACCAGGAGGATGGATGGGGCAGTGCGGGAGTCCCGTCTTCAGGCTTGGTACCCCAGGGACCCCCCCATCTGTCCCCCACAGCACCTACGCTGCCCCTGGGCACCCCCCAGGAGCAGGAGCTGCTCAGGCCCCGCTGTCATGAGAGTAGAACAAGCCCACAGCGGGATCCTGGCTGTGAGGGGTCTGGCAATAGCGAGCAGCATTTCCCAGGGCAGGATGAGCAGAAGGGGTCTCCAAAATCCAATCTCAAACCGGTATTAAGAGAAAAAACACTTTTCTGTCTGCACTGCAGGGTCAAGTAACGAAAAGAAACAAAAAAGGGCCAGGGGAAGAGAAGGGGAAAGAGCAGGAGCTGCATCCTGAACCCCTCTCTCGGAGCCGGCGACGCTCCTCCCGCAGCCGGCCGCTCCGAGTCTGCCCCCGCCGGCACCGAGCAGCAAATCGGGGTGAAAACGGTCCCTGTGTTGTCCCGCACGCAGCAGCCCTGCAGCCCCCGCGCTTGTCTCAGTCCCGTGTCATCGGACGCCAGACCAAGCAGGCAAATGCTCCAGCGTGCGCCGCGTGACAGGTGCTGGCGAGGACGCGAGCCAGGCGTGCTTGCACGTCTGTGTGTGCAGGTGCCCGAGGGCGGGCTGGTTCTTCCCCAGGAGCTGGGCAGGGAGAGGCAGAGGGGTGTGAGGGCAGGGGGTGCCTCTTCATTTGGCTGGTTTGGTGATGATGCGAGCAGAGAAGTCAAAGAGGTTCTTGTTGATTTTCCGGAGGGTGCTCACCTCCTCTTCCAGCTCGCTCACCTGGATCGTCAGATGCTCCTGGTCTCCTACCAGGTTCTGTGACAGAAAAACACAACAGAAAAGCATCAGGCACCCGAGTCTCACTTCTGGCAAGTGGAGGCTGGTGTTCCCCTCAACAGCAGCAAATCCCCAACCCTTTTGTCCTCTCCCTCCTCCATCTCCTACTCAAACCGCAGCCCCTCCTGCCTACACCATCAGCAAATTCCAGGGCTCATTCCTCCCCAACTTGCACAGGGCCCTAAGAACCGGTTCAGCTGAACAGAGAACCCTCCCAAGGGCTCCATACCAGAAGGACACGATTCCCTCATCTTGGAGCAGCTCTCACCTTTTCCCTTGTCGAGTACATCTGGGAGTACATCTTCTCAGCCTTCTCCAGGTAGCTCTCCCCAGACTCCTGCAGGGACCAGACAGGAGTGATCAATACAGAAGACCTGGGCCCTCTCCCAATGCCCCTGGGCAGGGTTCCCCACTGGAGAAGGCGAAGAAGCCCTCCCCGGCCCCACAAGACAAAGCAGAAACTGAGCAGAGACTCCAGTGGGGTACGGCCAACTCTGCGGCATCAGCAGAGCCTGGCTGGAGCTGCGGCCCCTTTCCAAAATGGAAGGCCTGTGCACAGGTCTGGGCAGGGATGGGGGTCCCAGAACAGCCCCCTCGAGAGTGCCTTGTGCAGGGGTCTGCCAAGCTCCTCTCCCAGCAGGGACAGAGCGCTTTGCCTGGGCAAGGGGAAGCACTGGGCTCGCCACGCCGCAGGCTGCTCTCCCCAGCACCGTGCTGCGAGTGGAGGAGCCCAACTGACTGTGGGACTGGCATCTGCAGAGCAGCACCTGAGCTGGCCCTGCATCACCAGCATGCCGTCCCCTCTGCCGAGCAGCGGGCAAACAGCACCTTCTGGACCAGCTGCCACCTCCCCGACATGGAGCTCATCCATCAGCCGTGGCAGGACTGTCACTCGCCTGGGGACAGATGCTGACAGAGGAGAGAAGCTCTGGGACTGCCAGCAGAGAGACCAGGGGATGGACCAGCACGGCACACGGCGAGCCTGTGATCATTGATGGTGCAGGATACCCCCCCTGCCTGGGGACAGCTGCGCTGGGACTGAGCAACAGCAGTGGTGGGACGGCAGAGCCCAGTCCAGGCACAAGGCTGGGAGGACAAATGACTGCACCAGCCAGGACAGTGAGGGCAGTGCGAGGGAGGAGGAACAGGTTTCACCAGGCTGGAGAAAGGCGTTGGTGGAGGGGGAACAGCCTCTGGCAGAAAGAGGCAAAGACGCTGCGTGGGGGGCTCCTGACTTTGGGCAGAGCAGAGCTGCAGAGCTCCAACGATCTCCAGACCCCCCCCACTCGCCATGACTGACACTGGGGTGATTTCAAAGGCACACCACCCTGCACCCCAGCCAGGACCCTCCTCCATTTGGAGACCTCGGTCCAGGGGTTCCTCTTCCCCAGACACAGCCAAGAGCAAGGGAAGAGCCTGCCTGCTCCCTGCCTGGCCTGCCTGCAAGGCTCCCACCGCAAGCCAGTTAATTGGGCAATCCCACTGCTTTAAAAAACGACACTTGGGGAAGTTTAGCAGCACGGGGGAAGATCTGAACAGGCCATGGAGATGCTGCCCATCAGCAGTGGATCAGCGTGGACTGGCCACCGATGCTGCTCTGGCTGGAGGAGAAATTTTGCATCCTCCAGCACAAACCCCCCCAACCCAACCTCCGTCTCCCCCTCCCCAGCAGTGTGCTCATCCCCCGTACCTGCTGGTGGAGCCCGAGGCGCAGCGTCACTCCCTCGCTCCCCTGCTCGTCGTTGCTTTCGGTGCCATGGAGGTGTTTGCTGAATTTGGGGAGAGGCACGCTGGGTTTCCCGTCCGGGTTGAACATGTTGGCTGGGGCCAGCACTATGAAGGCGTTTGTAACCGGACCTGGGATGGGACAAGAGGAGGGGACAGGTCGGACTTTCCCCTCTGGTGGGTTTGCCTCTTGCCTGGTGCCGCTGGCAGCCCCGAGAACAGACAGTACAACCTGCAGCGCAGGCAGCTGCCAGGACTCCTGCCTTCCTCCCCGGCACCTGGGAAGAGGCAGAGCCCCTCTCCCCATCCTTGGCAGTGGGGAATGGGGACGCGGCTCTGCACCCCGGGCCCGGCAGGCAGCATGGGGAGGAGCGGGGCGGCCTGGCCATCCTCCGCAGAGCCAGCCATCCATCAGCAGCTGCCGCTCTCGCAGCTGTCTCCTGCAATGATCTATCACACACTCTCGTTTGGCAGAGCTAATGAACGCTTTAATTACTGCATTTACCCACACAGGCTGCTGCTTTCTATCAGCGGCCCCCTTTGCTCCCCCTTCTGAACTCATGCTCGCTGGCAAACTCCCACCGCTGCCCCCCACACCCCAAACCTTTCCCCATCAGACACAGCAACCCCCCAGCCCTCCAAAGCCCCCCGCACTGCCTGCAGCACACCTCCAGCAGTCAGTGGGCTTGTATGCAAGCAGAGCAGCTCAGTCACTGCTAATAAATCCCCAACCATCCATCTTCCCCTGGCCAAACTTGACGGCACGAAGGGAAAGGTTAAAAGGATCCAGATGCACCTGAGTGGAGGCAGGCTGCTGCAGTGCCTGCCCAGAGTCCCCACCAAAGGCAGTGGGGAAAGGTGCAGGATAAGGGAGGGAGCCCCGGGGAGGGGTCAGAGCCGCCCGAGGCTTTCGGTCTCTGCAGAGGAGACGGACAAAAGCACCTCTGATGCGGATGAGGGCTCCCCTCGCCATCATCTCCCCCTCCAGCTTGAGCAGAGCCTGCTCCAAAGCCTGACCCTCCCAGGATCCAAGGCTGGATCCCATTGGCAAACAAAAGGCCCTGCCGAATACTCGGCCCATAAGCTGCTCTGCCAGCAGTCCCAGGCTGGCCCCGAAGCTGCTCTTTGCCAACACTTTGCTGTAACAAACTATTTGTTTTACTCTTCCTCCTTAAAGACGTTTGCTGCTGCTTATGAAAGTATCCATTAGTGAGATTATTGCTGTTGGTTCACTGGCAATTTGAGAAGCAATTTGAAAGGAAGGGACGAGAAAGGCAGAGAGAAGAAAATCTCATGCACTAGTGCACAGATCGCCAGATCTGGTCACCGTCCAGGCGCAGACTCCCCCAGCTGCTCTCAGGCCCCAGTGCCGATGCAAGTCCCATCCAAGCCCACCTTGTCATGACAGCTCGGGCACCAGGCAGTGGGTGACACCCTGCCAGTGTGGGCAGAGGGACTGGACTCAACTGGGGGAGAATAAATAATCTGCCTTCCAACACTGGCAGCTGCCGGCAGGACAGATCGGCTGGAGCATCCCCAGGGTGGCCTTGCGCAGATGAGCCCTCAGGCATGGTCTGTGCCACACAGTGTTTGCAGAGAGAAAGATGGAGCTTGTGTGACAGGATGGGAACCGAGGCCCAGAGGGATTTGGGAGCAATGTTGGCAAGAGAATCAGGGAGCGCTGGCTCACAGGCTCATCCCAGAGGTGTCCTGCTTCCCCTTGGAGCAGTGCCAGCCATGCTGGGTGACCAGGAGCAGCCCTGCCTTGCTCAGCCCAGTCATAGCTCATTACCCAAGAGCAGCAGCCCAATTTCTCAAAGTCCATCTGCCTGCCCATACTCTGCCCCCACTGCCCACCCCTGTCAAGGACAAGCAAACCTTGCTGGAAAAGCCCCCTGCATCTGTCCTGCCTGCACAGCCAGGCTCCTCTTGAGCCATGAGCCACGCTCCAACCCCTCCAATCTATTTGCAGCATCATCATGTGGGGAGGGCAGTGGTTTCTGCCTTGCGCCCAGCTACTCACTCTGCCCTGTGAGCAGAGGGACCTCACTCTCCCAAGCACACCAGGCCGGAGGTTGCTGTCATGTCAGCTGTGGCAGAAAAGCCCATGTCATCTCTGCCTTGGAAAGGGAAAGGCTCAGGGAACACGCTGGAGGGGTGAGCAGGGCAGCAGCAGGGAACAGACCTTGCTGGGAGGCTCACATCACTGCTCGGAGAGGCAGCAAGAAAGGCCAAGGGGAGATGGGGACACGCTGGAAAGCAGCGCTGCAGGGAACTCGTTGCCTCACTAAGACAGGGTGGCAGGGCTGCCCAAGAGAGGCAGTGCTGGGACAGAAGAGCCGCAGAGCTCCCAATGCAGGGAGGCTGCGGGGAGCCTGCGCTCTGCGTGGGGACCCTCCACCTACAGCACAGCTCTCTGGTGGTGGGCTCCCCTGGATGGCAGCTCCTGATTCACAATACAGCTCCCACCCCGCTTCTGGGCTCAGATGAAGCACACAGCAGCAGCAGGGTGGTACTGGTGCCAGGACTGCCAGGGAAGCCAAATACCTGCCCACAAGAAGCAGCAAGCCAGCAGAGGCTGCAGAAAGCATCCGCACCTCATGGCCCCAGCACCCAGCAGCATGGTCAGCCTGGTCCTGCCCCACATGGGAAGAGCTTGTGTCCATCTGCACTCCCCTACAGCCTCAAGGAGGGTTTTAATGCCTGGCTCGCAGTGAAAGCTTGCCCCCCCCTCCTCTGATGACTCACACAGCTCCAATTTTGTCTGCTTTCACCCTTCTAATGCTAGTGGAGCAAGGCTGGATGGGCGCTGCAGTAGGTCCCCATTAGAAACGGTCCTTGGCAGCAAAAGGAAAGAAGGAAAAGGTCTGCAGGCAGCCTGGCTTTCAGCAACTGCCCCGAGGCAGCAGCTTGCCCACCTTTGTCCAGAGGCAGCATCACAGAGGAACAGGGTCTGACTTTCACCACCGTCACCTTCTGGGAGGGTTTAGGTAGTGCCTGGAGAGCAGCGCTGCCAGCCCCACCAGCAAGAGTGGTGTTAAGAGTCTGGAGACCACCACAATCATATAAGAAATCCACTGTTAGCAACAGCTCAAATGCAACAGGAGAGCTAAATCGTCCACTGCTCTCAGGCACCTAATTGCCAATCTGAGCCTGTAAAGATTTGTTTGCATGGTTTATCAGAGCCATTAGACTGAAATCCCAGACGACTGCTTATATCGGATTCACTTCAGGCCTAATGAGCTCACAGGTGCTCGTTGCTGGGGTCACAGAGACAGCCTCTTCTCCAGACACATCCTCCCCCTCTCACAGCCTCCCCAGGCGTCGGGGTGTGTGTGGGGCAACTGCTCCCTTTGGAAAACAAGGAAGAAGATCCTGGATGTCCTCAGTGACAAGGTGAAATCTATGACTCACTCCCTGACAGTGCACAGGGGGGTTGTTAATAGACATCGGCAAGGACAAAACATTACTCCAGACAGCTGAGGCATCCCTCTAATGCCTCTACCCTTCCTGGAGGTGTGAAGCAAGTAGCAGAGAAATGCCTGAAGTGCCCAGGGTGGCGTCAGAGCAGCAGAAGTGAGACAGCAGCGGCCTTTGGCAGTTGAGGAGGAAAGGATCCCGGAGATAAGGGCATGCCTACCTTTGTGATTCATCGTCTTCAGGCACTGCTTGCTTTGGATGTCCCACAGCCGGACAGTTTCGTCATGTGAGCCGGAAAGCAGCAGGCTACCATCCGTGGAGACCGACAGACATGTCACCTGGTTCCTGGAATGAGGAAGAAGATGTTTAAACTCAGGATGACCCAAGGAGTGCCAGAAAGTGGTGAGGTGGGCAGACAGGGCCAATGAAGTGTTTGCCAGGTATGTCTGGTCCCTCACCTGTGCCCTTTGAAGACCTTCCCGTTCTCCCGCTCTGTCTGGAAGGTCCGGTCTCTCTGGACCGGCTGCAGAAATGAAGGAAGGAAGGGAGAGAGTGGTTTAAATTCAGGAAGACTGAAGCCAGCAGGTTCATCACTGTGTCTGGAGGGGGCAGAGGAGATACAGGGGAACCCAGGCCCTCCCATGCCCTGGCAGGTCACACCAGTCGCATAAGCAGGGAGGTGACAGTGGCTCAGGGTGCTACATCAAGGGCAACATCGAGCAGATCTGCAGCGCCACACACTCACCCAGGCACAGAGGTCAACCTGGAAGATGGATCCATCCATGCCGCCGCAGAACATGTGATACTCGGAGAGGTCAAGAGTCACAGCCATGATCCCCACATCGAAGAGGACAGAAAGCAGGAGCTCCCCAGATGAGATTTCCCAGAGCTGGAGTGAGAGGGTACAGGAATGTACTGGGTTTGCATGGCAATGCTTGGGGGCGGGGGGGGCAGGCTACAGGGGTGGCTTCTGTGAGAAGCTGCTAGAAGCTTCCCCTATGTCCAACAGAGACAATGCCAGCCGGCTCCAAGATGGACCCGCTGCTGGTCAAGGTTGAGCCCATCAGTGACAGTGGTATCGCCTCTGAGATAACATATTTAAGAAGGGAAAAAATGTTGCTGCAGCACAGAAACTGCAGCCAAAGAGAGGAGTGAGAATACGTGAGAGAAACAACCCTGCAGACACCAAGGTCAGTGAAGGAGGAGGGGGAGGAGGTGCTTGAGGCACTGGAGCAGAGATTCCCCTGCAGCCCGTGAGGAAGACCATGGTGAGGCAGGCTGTCCCCCTGCAGCCCATGGAGGTCCACAGAGGAGCAGATATCCACCTGTAGCCCGGGGAGGACCCCATGCCAAAGCAGGTGGATGCCCAAAGGAGGCTGTGACCCTGAGGGAAGCCCGCGCTGGAGCTGGCTCCTGGCAGGACCCGTGGAGAGAGGAGCCCACACTGGAGCAGGTTTTCCGGCAGGACTTGTGACTCCACGGGGGACCCATGCTGGGGCAGTGTGCTCCTGAAGGACTGCACCCCGTGGAAGGGACCCATGATGGAGCAGTTTGTGGAGAACTGTCTCCCATGGGAGGGACCCCACGCCGGAGCAGGGGAAGAGTGCGGAATCCTGCCCCTGAGGAGGAAGGAGTGGCAGAGACATTTGATGAACTGACCCCAACCCCTATTCCCTGTCCCCCTGTGCCACTGGGGGGGAGGAGGTGTAGAAAACCAGGAGTGAATCTGTGCCCAGGAAGAAGGGAGGGGTGGGGGAAGGTGCTTTAAGATTTGGTTTTATTTCTCATTATCCTACTCTGGTCGATTGATAATAAACTAAGTTAATTTTCCCCAAGTCAAGTCTGTTTTACCCGTGATGGTAATTAGTGAGTGATCTCTCCCTGTCCTTATCTCGACTCATGAGTCCTTCCTTATATTTTCTCTCCCCTGCCCAGCTAAGGGGGGGAGTGATAGAGCAGCTCTGGTGGGCACCTGGCGTCCAGCCAGGGTCAACCCACCACAATGAGAATTAGGGGCCTAAATTGGAAGGATTGGAAGAACACATTGCTGCTTATCAGCACCTGCCCAGCAGCAAGCTGGGCTCCTTGCTATGGTTGGGAAAACCGAGTCCAAGGCATAACCACAGCAGAACCCAGGATCAGCCTCTTTGTGACCATGAGACAAGTTTCCCAGGCAGCTCCAAAACGGCCCTCAACCCCCTCCAGTGCCTGTCCTGCCTCCAGGGCAGACCCCTCCACGCAGGGCAGGAGGAGGAGGCTGCAGCTTCCAGCCTGCTCTGCTCCCTGTCCTTTGAGACTAAAGGACATCAGCAAGGGGAATCAGAGGAGCTGACCCCAACATTCCCCAGGAGAAGAGGGACTGCAAACCACGCAGAGGTCCAGCCTGAGGGCAGGTGCAGAGAAACTGCTGGTGTTTGGAGAGGCAAAGCCCATTAGGTCTGGCAGCTCTGACTCATCACAGAGACAGCCAAGAAATTCAGCTACTGCAACCCTCATGGACAGCTTTGCTGCAGCCCAGCAGAAACTCTGCTTTAACGCTGTGGGGCCAGCGCACCTCTGGGACTCTTGTTTGGCAGGACAGACCCAAGCCTTACCTTCGCTGTCTGGTCAAGGGAGGCTGTGGCAGCTCGGGCCAAGGGCCCTCCAAAGCCACAGCACAAGTCCGTGATAGGGAGGCTGTGTCGGGACCACACATGGCGAGGGTCAGGGATCTGGGAGGGTTCTGCCTGCAGCACGCTGTAGGGGAGAACAGAGAGACAAGTTGGCACGGCAGGTCAGCCAGAGCAATGCTGGGGATGCCAGAGCAAAGCAGCTCTGAGGACAGCTGGCCAAGGCTCTTCTTCCTCCGGGATGGTTCTCCTGGCTGCAAAGACCAAGCAGGACACAGAAGCCATCAGCAGTCACAGCATCTGTGATACTGAGGACAAGGGCTGCTACTGAGCTCCCCATCCCACAGGGGACACAGAACTCCACTGCCATTAGCAGGGAAAGGGCACAATCCACTCTGTGTCAAGCAGGGAAAAGAAGTCAGAGCCATATGCCACAGCTTGGGAAACCCAGAGGAGACACTAGGAAAAAACTCTCTGGCAGCGAGGGTGACAGCAGCGGAACAGCCGCCTAAGGAGGGCACAGACTCATCATCACCAGCAGGCTTTACAAACAGCTTAGACACACGAGCTTAGTTAGAGTTGATTCCGCCTCTGGGAAGTGGTGGCTGATCTCTTATTCTAATATTCCTCACCCAGATGCTCCCTGTTCCCCATACAAATGGGTCAAGACCTCCCCACGGGCCACCATTACCTGTAAAGGTTCCACACCAGGGCCAGACAGTCCTTTGCCCCGGAGAGAAAGTGGCTGCTGTCGTCAGTAAAGCAAAGGCATGTGAGGTCCTGGTAGTGTCGGTTCAGGATGGCTAGGAGGTTCCCGTTGGAGACCTAGAGCAAGGGAAAGGGCAGGAGAATATTAAGAAGCACTGAGATGCCCTGGAATAAGATAGCACTCTGCCCTCAATGGTTGTGGGTGCAGCAGCACCTGCAGCTCCATCACCAGGTGGGTGTTGCTGTGTATTTACAAAAAGGTAAATACAGCAGAAGACAGTTTGAAGAGGTCGCGCCCATGTTAACTCTGGAACCTAGTGAAGCCAGTGCCGTTTCTCTGGTCAAGACACAAACGTGCAGTAAAGATTTCCTGTTTACTGTTAATATGGGTTTCACGGCTTCTTCCAACCTCCCACAACACCTAATGGAATGGCTGCGGGTGCCACAAAAGCCACAGAAGGCTGCATGCCACCCCAGGGGTTGCTGTACTTCAGCACAGCTGCATGGTCTCGGGCCAGCAGAGGCTTTAGGGTGGACAAGGAGTTCCCTAAACCTGGAGCTTTTCTTGTTAAAAGGCAACACTGCAGATGGGGAGGGAACTAAGGAGGCAGCAAGGGAGTCCTACATAAAAGAACAGAATCAACACCCTCTCATTGCCTGAATTACACCTAAAAATAAAACCAAACTGCAGTTCAATGGAGAACAAGCGGTTTCACAGAGAAGGCACAAAACTAGGTCTCTTGGGCCCATTTCCAGCTCTACAATGGTTTCCACGCAGCCTCTCTAACATGCCTGTTCCCTCTGCCAGAAGGAGAGTGCCGTCACCCACTCCAGGCAGATGCTCAGAAGCGTTTGCAAGGCAAGGCTAGCTGGGGACAGACAGAAAGGGCCACATTCTGCAGATGAAGCAGAGCAGAGACCAGCTCAGAGCATCACGAGTGAGTAACTCCCACTCACTGCAGTCTCAGCCCAGCATTCCTTGTGAGGGCTTTTTTTCCGAAGTTGCCACAGTCACATTTTTAAAAGAAAAATCTGATGAATTAAGATAGAGCCGCCCACATAACAAGGCTCAGAAACATCCCCCGGGATGGAGAGCTTTCCAGTTTAGACATCTCAGTGTTTAATCCCAGGGTTCACAACAAGCTTGTTCTTTTATTTGCTTGGTGGAGTGCTTAGAATGCAGTGTAATCCCCATGTAAATACACCACTAATTAAAAACAGAAGAATGATGACCAGAGCACAGCAGTCTCTGCAGACATCCAGATCACAAGTCACACGCAAATACTAGGCTAAAACACGGAAGAAGTGCTAAAGGAAAACTAGGTCCTGTGTTTCTGCTTCGAGGGAGCAATGCCTGACCCCTAAGGCATCTGTAGCAGCTTGGAAAGAGAAGGAAAGAACAGACCTAAGCCTCACTCAGCAACTCCCACCACAATTTCTTCCCCCCCCGCTTTGATGAGCTGTCCCACAGTCTGCAGGCTCGTGGAGGCCGCCGAGCAGCCGGCCCCAGCCCCTCAGGGCAATGGGGAGCTCAAACCGCACCAGGACAGCTGTAACATACATGACCCAGCACAGCCTTCGCCCCACTGTGGAGCCCAGATAATGTGGATTTACTGACACCTGACGGGACGGGGCCACTTGCTAACTGTACAGGACGCGAATCTCTACATCCCCATTCCCCGTGCCAGCTCGCAGCCCCCTTACCTCCCACAGGTAGATGCTCTCAGCAACCCCAGCCAAGATGTAGAGCCCGTTGGGAGAAGCCGTCAGGCAGGTCACTGGCCCAGGGCATATGATCTTCTGCTGGAGCTGGTCCTGAGGGCAGAAAGAACAGAGTGGCTGTTGACTATAGGCTGGAGTATGGGAGGGAGAGAGAAACAAGACCCTGGTTCAGTTGAGATCAGCCTGTGGCAGAAGAGGCAGCTCAGGCAGTGTCTGACGTACTGTGGCTGCCTGTGTTTGAGCCATGCCCTCAACCCACAACAGCACTGCTGCACTTTGGAGATTCAATGCCAAAGAGGAAGATGATGGAGGAGCACAGTCCATCTGTGCAAATCGCATCGCATTGCTCTGCGTTTTGCTGGTTTTGTTGCAGTTGCTTCATGTTTAGCCCCACAGGGAAAAGGTAAATTCCCCTCCACCCTCTTCCAAGCTCTAGCAACACGCAGCAGGAGGGGTACCGAAACGCAAGGGATCTGGATGCAGTTATGCTCCAAGGCTGGTGAACCCTGGAGATTCAGCAGAGAACAGGCTCAGAAGAATACAGCAAAATAACATTGATAAAAAATAAAGATGATGCGAGCTCACAGCCTGGGACAGCAAGCAGTGGGTCTGAGAGCAGCTCCTTGCAGCTCAGGGGAACTGGAAAAAACAGACCCTGAGCTGTGGCAGCGAAGGGGCTGCATGTGCTGAAACTGACGGGCTGCTGCTGCTTTCTGCAGAGGGGAACAACAGGGAACGGAGAGATTACGGCTGTATTTGCCACCATCCTGCGCTAGTTTAAGTACAAGTGGGATGCAGCTAGCAGGACGAGGATGGGGTACGGCCACGTAGGGACAGGTGATGTTTGTCCAGCTGCATTTAGGCTGGAAGGGACAGAGAACAGACTGAGGTGATAGGAGGCTTCAGGCAAAGGGGGCTCAGCCCTTGGGGTGCCCGCATCCCCCCGGGCTCCCCCTCAATGGGCACGGTTGGGTTCCTGGGCAGCCCTGGGAGCTGTGAGGCTCCTTTCCAGCCTTGGGAAGGGGAGGTGTGAGGGGCATGGCTGTGGAGACACTAGTCCGGAGAGGAGCCCAACAGCCGATTCCTCCTGCAGAAAACATCTTTCCTGGTGGTTCCCGATCGGCTGAGACCCCCGGGGAGGGAGCCGGGCCTTATGGGATCCATCACCACGTGTGGGAGGCCAAGGCAGGGAGGAGGTTGCTGGCAAGAGACGGGGGACTCAAGGGCGTCCCTGGGGGGTCTCTGCAGCTCGAGGGATGTCGGGCATCTGCCTGTGGTGACGGGGGTCGTTATGGGGGGGGGGGG